CACACACACACACACACACACACACACACACACACACACACACACACACACACACACACACACACACACACAAACACATAGAATAAGAAGCAGAGGGAGGAAGAAGGAAGAGGGAGTATTGAGGAAGAGGAAGTATGGAGGAAGAGGGGGGGAGAAGATGATGAAGAAGAAAAATCCTCTCTAGACATCCCCATAGCAGAACAAGATACTGACCAGGGTAGAGGTGTAGCCTTGGAGCTGTGTCTGCAGGTGGAATGCGCTGAGGTCGCACAAGAGTGATGGCGCCAGGTAAGTCTGCAGGTGTCGCATACCGTAAAGGTGCAGACCAGAACAAGAACCGACCTCTCTCACATAGTACAAGATAGCACAGCGGAAGGCTTAAATACCAATGATCGGAACAATCAATGTTGCCATGCAGACCAGACATACATCATCATCATTCCATGGTGTGAAGGGGCCTGGCGCTCACACAGGAAGAATGTGCCAGTCCCCAACCATACACAGACGAAGAAGAGGGGGGTTAGACGAAGAAGAGGGGAAGATGAGAATGTCGTCAATACCAAGTCTTCGGTACAGGTCCCAAATAATCCCTCGTCGAATGTCTGAATCCAAATGTCGAGTCTGGACCCAAATGTCGTCAAGTCCCAAAATCACCAATCTCTCTTTCTCTCTCTTAGTCTGCAGATACTGAGAAGTCAGGTAGCGAGAGGGGGAGGAGGAGATGGTGGACTTAGAACTCTCTCTCTCTCTCTCTCTCTCTCTCTCTCTCTCTCTCAGTCCAGTACTAACCTGTGAAGGTGGCGCCTTGTTGCAGGTACATCGAAGACGAAGCTGGAGCTATGGCGCCACAGTTAAGTCTCCCTGGCCTCCGCCAACCATCTCTCTCTCTCTCCACTAGTACTCTAGCTCCTGATAGCGCCCAGCGCTGAAGCCTACTGCTAACGCTACTACTACTACTGCAGCACTCCTCCAGAGTGCTGCTGCCGAATCCTGAAGACTGCCTCCTGCCTCCTGCACGTGAAGCGCCTGGGAAGTTCCTATGAACTACCTCGTGACTGTCTGCAGCCTGTAGGGCGGGCCAGTCTTATATAGTGCTGGCCCGTCCAGGAGGCTGCTCTTGCCAATGCCAAAACGTGCCAGACCCTGCCGTTGAAGTTCAACCAAGGGTTGTCTTGAAAACAGACCAAAAATGGCATGTGCTAAAACCCTGGTCTGGTGCCTAAGTTTCAGGGCAGGTCGATCTTATGAGGGCCTGAAAATCGCCCTCCGCTTCAGGCTGAAAAGACTCAGGGCCTGGAAGGCCCTGTTTTAGGCTGAAAGGACATAGGGCCTGAAGACCCTCGTTTTCAGGCTTTCC